CCCCCCGCCCCCCCCCCCCGCCCCCCCGCCCCGCCGCCCCGCCCGCGCCCCGCCCCCCCCCGCCCGGGGGCGGTAACCTCTCGTTAGGGGCTGCAGAATTCGATTCTGAACAACTTTTGTGCCCAGAGTTTTGCTTCAAAATGCTTGCTTCGAACACCAGGGAAATTCCTGACAGCAAGAAAGAGAACGAATATATATATGTATGATACCTATCATACAATTCTCTCTTATGGCACGTCTCTAATATGTGCCATAACACTTTGAAGTATATGTCTTGAAGGTTTTTCGGCTTAGTGACATTATCTGACTGAGAAAAAATTAATTACTGGAAAGTATATTGTTAAGTTTTCGACTTATCACACTTACCGGGCGGCCAAAATTGAATTCTAAGACTCTTAGGGTAGTTTAACTTGTAGCCCGTGAACTTCTCTATCAGATAAGGTAGTGCTTGAATTTTGTCGTTGAGTCGTCATTTTATAACTGAGACTTTAAGCTGATAGAGTAGGCTAAATTAACGTTAATTAGCACTAATTAGTTAATAACAGGAAGGAAAGAACAAACTTTTTTGCATATTATCTCGTAGTAAATATTCTTCACACATTTCTCTATCGATTTAGGCACGAATCAAGTTTTTTTTGATGAATAGAGAATGGACAGGAACTTTTTTAATAATAGTCGTAAATGTTAGAGGAAAATCCAAATGGGGGGGAATTATCGAATAGTAGATATTACTTAGATAGATCGAATAGTGTATTATAAGTTTTTGTAATATTGGTTTCTGAAGTATTCAATTTTCTAACTATTGGGAAAATGTTTTTTTATGAAAAAAGGAAAAAGCATAAAAGTGAGCATTTCTCACGGAAATTGCTAGAAAATCGTATTAAAGGCTCAACTAGAATATGTATTATTCATCTCAGCCTTCCGCAGTTTGTAGTTCTTCAATTAGTAATTTGAATGCCCACCTGATTATTGACACTTCACTGTAAACATCTTACGGGATAGAGTTGTTCTTAAAAAGATCAATTGAAAACCATATAACACGCAGCTCGGAAAATTTTATAATGCACCATTCAATGCATCTTTATCTGCTCTTTCCAATGGTGAAAACCGCAGCTCTCTATCTTGTTTCTATCAAAAGTTATTCAAAAAATATTCATTCAGTTTTTTTGAAATGAGCGTCAGTATAACCGTGAGACATGCGAAAAAACAGCTCTTAGAGGAATTTTGTTATTATAACTTTAGTTGAAATATGATCAAATAGCATAGAAAAATAGAGCATTCTTTTCTCTATCAGACTATATAGAGAGAAATTTCTTAAAGCTTATTATACGGTATTAAAGTGTCAAAATCACTAGTCTTGGTATGCCCTAAGTAACAAATAACACAGATTCCTTCAGTTCGCACTTAGGCATCATGCGAAACTTGCGTAGAATCAGCCACATCTAATATTTCTGCATCATACATGTCTAGTTCACATAAGACTTCTAGCTGTATTTGATACGATATTTCTCTTGTGTTAACACAACTTCTTTGAACTTTCCCTGCAGCCATCAGAGTTTATAATGCTGACAGGAGACTGGCCTAAAAAAGAAAATAAGGTTGACTCCCGACACCCCATGGGTCTCTTCCGTAGCCGAAGGCAGTAGTGAGGTGCTTGTGGAGGAATTATGCACAGCATCCGGCAGACAGATGATTCTTTTAGGCTGATACAGTTGGTATTATATCGACGCGTCTCAACAAATTCTTTCATAAATATGGCTGGATGCTTTTGTTTCCATGTGAGGAAAAACGATTCATAGAAGGTCCAATCAAATAATAATATCATTTATTTACATATCGATCACACATTTTTATTTTAATTCTCGATACTTATTGATTATTTTTATTCACTTTTTATTTTTGTCCACGTTTTACACTATTTTATCACGTTTCTAGATCAACATTAGAATTAAACTACATTATAACATCGTACATCGTTACATGCAGTATTAGCTATTAATGCAATAATGTTTGATCATACCAGAATTTAAAGCTCCGAAATGATCTGCTCTGGTATCTAGCAGATAAACTGAAAATACGTTACTATTTTAATAAATTTTGGAATATGAATGCAACCGATCAGTACACATTGATCTGTTAAGACAGTTTCACTTTTATGTTTGTTATAAAGTTTGTAGCTCACAGTTTGGGCTATCGCATAGATATCAGTTGAAAGAATGGATGAAAAACGTTGAAAACTCGACGAACATTAAGTTGCTGAATGTGGAAAAAACTATAGCAACTATTCAAACATAGAAATTACAGTGAGAATCATAAAAACTTCTAGTTTCTATTGGGAACGCATTTCATCACTCTTTCAGCTTCCGTTCAACGTCGTTCCGTTCCGTTCTTTATCGTTTTCATTTGAGAAATATTGATTAGATAGTACTCAAAAAACGCTAGAAAAATTTCCAAAGTAGCTGTTGCGAAGAAAATGGTACCCATGTATGAAAATCTACCCATTTCGGCGGCTGCCTTCAAATAAGTTATGTTTTTGTTCATTTAAGGGCCATTATGTTTACCACGCGAACTAAATGATTCAGTTGATCGCTTCGGATTTTTTATAAGAAAAAATTGCAATAGTACAAATACGTGTTGAAATAATTTTAATAAAAAAGATGAGAATCTACCTGTTTCTTTAAAATATGCTACAGCCCTTCTTTAACCCATGTACAACTGCTTACGCTGCTTCCGAATCTAGTCTTGTTTTTCAATACTATTGTTATGTACTAGTTTTGAAAACTGCCGTTAAGCTGGAAAAAAACGGATTTTATCCGAAAAAAAACTTGTAGCAAACTTCACCAACATTTGTGCTATCTGTGTAATGTAGGATATATGAAGAACATTCTGGCAAAATTGCAGCCTGTTTAGAGCTTTACGCTTGTTTGCACTCTCACTATACTGGAAACCGCTATTCAGAAGCATATTTAGCCTGGAAACCGATGTTCTTTCACTTACAGTTTATGTCAAAACTGAGAAATTGTTTTACAGATATATAGCTTGAAGTATAAAACAGAAAGTTAGACGTTTAACACCATAAATTATTTGTTTCTTCTCCCAACCCAAAACATCTTCTAACTTTTTGATAATGATTGATACGATTCTGTTGATAAGATTGACCACATTCTAATGCGCCGTTGATAATTCTTGTTGTTGCAGCAAAATTACCTTGTTGTGCTGGTCCAGCCATACCATTGGCATTCCAAAACCACAATGCTGTTGCACAAGCTAATCTGTCCGATTGTGCAACTAGATCTGGATTACCTAATAAGTCGGCACCCAATGCTTGTCCCGCTGCATGATAATTGCATGGCCATGACAGTTGAAACCAACCACGACCATAATAATGTTTTCCTGGACGAGCTTGAATAGCACACCATGAACCTAAGAAGTTTAACGAAGAAATATTTTTGCTAATGAAGAAATTCGTTATAAACAATTAGTCTCAATTACGCCCGTACTCAGAATAAGAAGCATTTTTCTCAACTGCCTGAATTACCCTTCGAAACAGAAAAAAGAAATCTGGTACCGCCCGATTCATCTAGATTACTGGATTTTTACTCGGTTGCAATTATTTGGTAACGACATCGGAAATCTAATAATCGGGCGACAGCTAGATTTCTTCTCAGATGAAACTATCCATAACTATCGCTCGTTAACTATTACTAGTTGCACATGCAGACATATCTAATTAAAAGTCCCTTTTCCAACTAGTAATCTAGATGGCGACTGGTCGTGTACCGTCCGATTACAGACGAATGTATCTTAATTTTCCCTATAGGCGATGTTTGCTTGGGAGTAAAAAAAAAATCCATTACCCAAATTTGTATTAGTGACGATGCTTTTCTTCCATTTAAAAATACGTTCAGTATACACTAACCTTGATAATTATTTGCACATGCACCGGATTGTCCGCAATACTCAATATAAGTTTTCAATCCATCGGATTCATGAGATACATGACCTAAAAAGATCATAATTTCATTTTGATTTACCGGTTTAAAAGGTACTTGTGCCAACGCTTCTTGCAGGCCGTTCCAACGGCTATTGCGGGTGTTAGAATCTAATTGATCAAAAATACAATTGAATTGATTTTGATTAATTAGGTTATTGTTGTTGTTGTTGTTGTTATTGTTATTATTGTTTGACCCATAACATGGACCGCTTTGACATCCGTCACCACAATATTCTGAGCTTGTACCACAATATCCGTATTTTGAACAACAGTAATTTCCCGGTGGACAATTACATGATTGACATGTTATAGTACTTACTACCACAGATAAAGCAAAAACTGATAATATTATTTTAACTTGCTGCATAGTTAGTAATTTTGTAAGAGATAGAATGAAATCGGTGAATTATCGATACATAACATTTATAAGCTATGTTATCTCTTTTTTATTATTCTCTCTCTTTCACCAGGTAGTACCTATTTTTCAAAACTAAGAAAACAGCATATGTCGTTATTTCTCATAATATACCCTATAGTTAAAATTATTTTTTTAATCGAGAGCTAGAGAAATTTGCACTTTTCTTTTCTCTAACATTTTATTGATATAAAGTACTCACGAGGGAATTTCCCCACATGTAACACTCCGTTTCCAATGATTTATCTGCCCATCGATAGAAGATAGTGAGTTAGGAAAAGCCCTAAAAGGATTCTGACTCATGGTACTCCTTTCAAAGTTATGAACTTTTTGTTTACCTATACAGGGGAACCTATTAACAATGAAACTTCCATAACTTAGTCAAAATAGCGAATTAAGAGCTAAAATGTTTTTCCATCATTGTGTGAGATATCTATTATTATCACCTCAAGTTTTGGCCTTGTAACTCTAGTGCTTGCTAAGTTATTGAATTTTCCCTGCTTAAGGAAAATCCATGTGTTTTTTCAAAGAGACAAACATGGTAAAGAACAGAGGCTCCGATATAGGATTTCTAAAAAGCCGAGGTTTTTGGCATACTTGATCTCAAAAATATTAATTTCTAGAAAAAGTGACTGATGTTGGAACAATTTTGAGATTATAGTCGTATTCAGGACAGAATAAACTTCATTTTAAAAAGACATTCGAACCTCCGCCACAAAGTTGATATTTTAAATAAAAGTTTTATATATTTTAAAAAATTAACCTTTTTTGAATTTGAAATAACTGAGATAAGTGTGGGAAACGTCAAAAATGTATCATTCGAGAATCAAAAACTGAACAAACATTGGGATTCGACAATGTTCCTGTATCCTGTGATCCTGGTTTTCTATGGGTTTTACAGAACAACTTCCGGAAATGTTATTTTAATTTAATTTTTTTAATCTAAATGTTCATCCGAAGCTTTTCAATTGTTTTGTTGAGTAGAGATCATAAAACTGCATCTTGTAGACCGGTTTTTGGTCGTTATATGAGCAGTATTCAACATCATGTACTCTTCTGCTATAAGATCACGATGATTTTCACATACACAAATGATGTCCACTCACAAATGTATTACAGACCAGAGACATAGACAGACATTACTGTAGATAGCTGTGCTTGTTGAATTGCGTGAGCAAGAAGGGCGACGAATGATAGATTTAACTGTTCAACTATGATATTCAGTTCTTTTAATGAATCAACTATTGATGGTTCACCAACATCGCGGGCACAGGCCTGATGTCAATATATTTTAATTCAGTTTGATCATAACAAATTAAACTAATTGATTGAAAATAGTCGACATCTGATGAAGTTACATTACATTGTTGTAATACTCAACAGAATACTAATGGTATATATTAAATAGTTTCTTTTCTTCTAAGTCATCCATTTATCATGTCTTGGGGCAAAATCTTTTTTTAGGACGTCACCCATTGTCAAAGATCTGCTCAGTATTACCAAACAAAGAAAAAATTCTCTCAGATGGAAGAGATTTTATTGCAAAATGCTTTAATAACAACAAAAAATAAAAACCATAGTTTTAAAAAAAAAAGGAAAATTAAAAAGAAAGAGAGGAGATAGAAAGAAAAAGTGTGGAAGAAGCAGGGGGTATGCACAGAAAGTTAGCTGTAGCATTTGAGTATTCAGTAAAATTTAAAACAGCAAAATAGATTGCAGAGTATTCATCATATTCAAATCTATTTTTTCATAGCAGATTTCTAACATCAATCCTAATTTTTCGTGGTATGAAGTCGGTGATGGTATTCGTCATCATAGTACGATAAGCAGTAAATAAATGACAATGAAGTAGAAAATATTCCACTGTTTCAGGTGCATCACATTGACAGAGATTACTTCCAACTAGGCATTTTCCAGGTCTGAAAAAACACATCTTAACTGGTAATAGATCTGATCATACTTTCTGTTCACACCATAGATTCTCAAAACATTAGTTTTGTAGATCCATCGTCGTTATACGTATACGAATACTTTGCGTAATTTAAAAGAAATATAGTCAGGTAATGTCTTATACTTATTTGTTCTCCCTTTCTGTCTTTTTCTCAGTGCATGTTTCACGTCAGTCATACTTGAAACAGTCATAGTATTTCTTTTCTTTTCTGTGGGTTAGACAGTCTCTGCGTTACATATGCATTAGATATATGTGCAATCATTCGTGATGTACATATCGATTGAGACACGTGTGGGTTATAAGCAGTAAAAATACTTATGCCAATTTTATTTTTATTCTCATAGTTAGTTTTTATCTTTCTTGATGTTTCTTTAATAGTTTTTTGTTTCTTCTTAGGAGGTGTTTTCTAATCTTCTTCTACTCTAAATCAATCCAATTCGAGTGGTATTTAGTCGCTGCGTTTTTCTTCTATGATAATGGCTAATTCTAAACATTGTGCCGATGGAGCGAATTTAAATGGCAATGATAGTATTCTTTCTTTAAACATTCGTAGTCTGTTAGGAGAAGCTTCAAAGGATAGTAACATTCTGAAACTGCATTTCATTCAAGAACTAGCTCAAACGAAAACCCTTTGGTAATAGGTGTTGTTGAATCATGGTTAACTGTGAATGATGACGATAATACAATTGAGGTTTCTAGATAACGAAAGGTCGAACTGATCAACGTGGAGATGGCTTGATTATGTATGTGAGAAGATATAGAAGACGGTAGGTATTCAGATATAATGTGCACAAGACTGACACTAGTTGAAAACGATCAATTTGAAATCATGTTTTTTAAAATTATTTTGCAAGGTTTTCGTAAAATCCTGTTTGTCTTAGCTTACCGCCCTGATTCCAATGTGAAAATTCGTGGGGGTTTCATTGACTTTATCAAAGAAAGTATCACTGAATGTGCATCAAAAACTCTTCATGATACAGTCATAGTAACTGACGATTACAATGCGCATTGTTCGAAATGATACGGCGGTAAACCGACCACTCTTGAAGGTGAAAAAATATATAATTGTTTTCAGTCATTAAATCTTACACAGTTAGCGTGTGAACCAACTAGCCTCATATCTAACTCGTGCCTAGATTCAATGGCTATTACTAATCTGAGTATGGGTAGACCTTGTTCCGTACTTTCTCCATTGTGTCAGTCTTGTGATCATCAGATTTTAAGCCTTGTCCTCGTACCATCCACAGCAGTTAATTTATCTTTCAGTCGTAAGATTTATAACTATAATTCAGTCGACTGGAACTATTTTATGTATAAAGTTGATTCGTACTTACCAAACTTTACCACTCTTACTACTACATCTGTTAATGACATGGTAAATTATATTAACGAGGCAATACTAGAGGCAGCAGATGCCGCGGTGCCAAGTAAAATTATTAAAATTAATAACCGTGACAAGCCACGGTTCACTGAAGAGCTATGACGTTTGAGAAAAAATAAAGACCGTTGCTTTGCTTTACGCAAGAAAAATATTTCATCTGATTTATTACAAAAGCAAATATCTGCTGAGTGCACAAAAATACGAAGATTCATGAAAAGTAGCAAAAGAGAAACCTAATGAAAGAATAAATTTAACGCAGAAACAGTCCAAAACCTGGTACTAATAACTAATAAGTCATGTACTAGGAAGAAACAGGCGTACCGATATACCTGTACTTTTGGACTCAAACGAGAATTGGATATATGATAATACTGAAAAGGCTAATATCTTGAACGGGCATTTTGCAAATACTTGTACTATGCACTTAAGTGACGCGAGAAAACCTATTCCTGGGGATAAACTACCATCGGTCAGTTCGAAGAGGAGTTGAGTCCGTGGACTTAACTCCTATTTTCCGGTTGAGTCCACGAACTCAACTCCTATTTTCCATTTTTGACAAGTTTAATCGAAAAGATAAATGATTAATAGCATTTTCATCCTTTTTGAGCTGTATTTTGAGAGATCCGGTGCAAAATTTTAAAAGCGTGCGTAGCAAGATAAGAAGGAAAATAAGTAGTGTATAAATTATGCAATAAAAGCTAGAGGAAGTAATCCACATGCGCTTTCTTTATTGCAAGTTGACACGATTTTAAAACAGCTCCAGTGCCAACAACGGAGGCGAAGCTTAAAACTTGATTTTTTTTATATCTCTTCGGCTCTATTCAAGATCAGATATGTTAGTGCTAACAAACAAAACAGTTTGATCTTTCTTTGACGGACAAACGAAATAAAAAAACAAAAGCAGTCACAAAACGTTGAGTGTACTAAATGAAAAGATCCATCTCAGATCTGAACAGAAAAAGACCCAAACACAAAACAAGTACCTAACACTTATTCAGAAAAACGCTGACTGAGCCGTCCCAGTTCGTACTGACTATGCCCAGTTTCGAATCTCCATTGAAATCGCCAACTGCCACACCAACTGGATCCTGTACACCTACGTACTCCATTGGCCTGTTAAAACTACCATCACCGTTGCCGAGGAGCACACCGACTGCAGAGCTACCACCGTTTGCAGTGACTATATCCAACTTCAAGTCGCCGTTGAAATCACCGACTGCGACATCACCTGGATTATAGCCAGTCGGGTACGATACTGGGCTGCCGAAAAATCCGTTATCATCGTTGAGAAGAACGCTGACTGAAGTGCCGTAGTAGTTTGTGCTGACTATGTCCAGTTTCAAATCGCCGTTGAAATCAGCGACTGTGACATCCCATACAAATGGGGGTTCAGCAGTCTGGTACGACAGTGGGTTTTGGAAAGTGCCGTTACCCAGGTTGAGTAGAATACTGACCGAATTGTTAACTCCGTCTGCTACTACTATATCAAGTTTCGAATCGCCATTGAAATCACCGACTGCAGCACTTGTGGTCGAGTTACTACTGCCTTTGTATTTCACTTCACTGCCAAAGCTACCGTCACCGCTTCCGAGCAGAACGCTGGTGGATCCGTCACCTGCGTTTGTAGTGACAACATCGAGTTTCGAGTCGTCATTGAAATCGCCAACTGGGAATCCCTCGATATATCTCTCACTCGCATAGATTACTTCATTATTGAAAGTGCCGTTACCCTTGTTGAGGCGCGCGTCCATTCATTTGTCACGTACGTGAAGAAAAAAGTGCTTTTTTAGAACAGTGATTTCACTCATGTCGTCTTTGATAAACAACCCGTGAACGCGAACCGTCCATCACCGTGGTTTGCCGTGACTACATCGAGTTTCGAATCGCC